TATTGTCGGTTAAGTTTTCGATTCAAAGGTGTATCATAAAATTACAATGGCTTTTAATAAACTTCTAGATACGCCACTTCTTACTCGCGTCACTACGGACTATTCGGAATCGGTGGCGATGGCCCAGGTGAGTATTTTGGGGTTCTGGTGCATTAGCGGCGGTACTCTTTGCTTATACTTTATTAACAACAAAATAAAAGGTATTTATAGGGCGTAGTAGCTTTTGGCTAAGCGATTATTAAAACCTTTTTAGCATTTGTGAATTGGGTTTTGTTTTACCGTCATGGCTTTTTCCCTAAAGAACTATTTTTTCAAAATTGTCGTTTGTCGCTAATTCGATCTCTTAATCATCTTTAATAGCGTTTTTAGAAAAATGCAGATATATTTTAAATCGGAAACTATCTAAAAGCTTAGACAGAATCTAAAATTTTTAATTTGCGATCAAAAATTGCCCATTTTTCGTAGAATAATCGGATTTTTTCACAGTTTTTATAAAGAATTGTAAAAAAATTCTGCATTTGGAAATAGTAAAAACCAGTTTAGAAACGCTTCCTCTATTTATATTAGGAAAATTGGACGCGAATGTAAAATTTTTTTAGCAAGCCGACATCTTCACATGCAGCTGGGGCCCGCCGGATGATGGCATCAGCGCGTTGGGACCTTTGACGTTGGCCCAGAAAGTGATCAGTGGCCAAGCCGAAAAGGTCACTCAATTTTTTAATGAAAACTACGTATAAATATAACAAAAATTATCCGCATTTTAGGGTCGTTCCGGTCTTGGATCACTCTTCGTCTGGGCCGCCGGTAATGGCGGGAAAACTTTTGACGATTGTGCGCTCGACGGTTTCGTCTCGAATCCGAATATTATTGGTAGGGGCAAGGAAGTATAAAATGATATTTTGTATTGAGAACCTGCTTTAACAATTTTAATTCGTCAGGGGTCAGCTGGAGCAATCTAACGGCACGGCGCCGCCGGATTCCGAGGGCTGCCCGGCCATTCTCACGTCCGTTGTCGCTGATAATCTGGGCGAACAGGTGGTGAAAAATTGTATAAAATACTTATAAACTTATAAAAATAGCTACATAACTATAGAAAATTTATACTGAATTTTGGCGTTTCTCAGAAAACGTTTGTACAGTTTTTTGGTTTTTAAGTCTTTATTTAATTATTTAAGTCTTAAAATTTTAAGTTTTGGTTTGAAAAACACGTAGAAAATCACTTACCGAAAACGTTTGAACGTTTGGAATTTTGGGCGAAAAATCGATGTTTTTTGGTTTTCTAATAAAAGTTTGTAAAGCTTACACATTCGGAATCAGTAAAAAAGCGTTTGTTCGCGTTTTTCCTTTCCAAATTTAGCTTTTTAACCTGAAAAACTCTAGGTTTCCGTCGATTCGCGAGGGCAATGCTCGCCCGCTTTCTACGGTTCTTCGGCGGCCGCGCCGGTGGTGGCCGCCGGCCTCGCGATTTTACTTGAAAAATAGTAAGGATTATACATTATGTAAAATAGCAAGGATGTACATTATACGTTTAATAAGATTATGTATTTATTCAACCGTCATAAAAACTACGATTTTAGCCCCAAATTAACGCGCCGCCAAATCAACCACCTGATCGTACACGGCGCCAACGCTGAGCACTACCAAAAGTTTGCAGCTTCGGACTGGACGAAGAACGCTGCGGGACTTAATTTTAACAGGTTGATATTTTGTATAAAGGGAAAACTAAGAAACGAGTAAAAAGAAACCTTCCAAATTTTACAAAAAAAACCCTAAAAATATAAGCTTTCGGCCAAGTTTAAAATTATCAACATTTCGAGGTTTACTAGATAATTTTCCATTTTAAGTATAGCTATATTTTACTAGAAGCGTTATTTTTATTTTTTCTAAGGGTAACGTTTTCCAAATGTCCATGAAAAAATCTATAAAGATAGATTTCTGAGCAAAATTTCGACATTTTTTTACAAGTATCTAGATCATGTTCCTTTTTAGACGTAGTTAAATTCTACCAGAAAGACTTTGAAATTAGGCGTAACTGGTCTTCGAGGGCCCTTCCCCCCCGATAATGCCAAAGGACCAAACATTTCAGGTTGCTTGGATTCGGTGTATTTTCGGTGGAACGGATGTTGGCGCTGGTGTCCTCTCTCGCAAACCCCGCCCCAGAACATCTACAATGCGTGAAAAGGTTCCAGATTCAAGATGGATCAAAGTTCGTTAATAATTTCTTCGCAAAATTCCGTTGTAGCACTTTTGGCGAACTGGCCGCCCAATTGAGCGTGAAGAGTTGTGATGTGAAATATCTGGAACATTTGGAAGTGGGCGTCACGTTGGTGCATCCGAGGAGGGGAGATATCAGGATACGGTTACGGTCGCCTGCTGGTAAGTAGTCATCGAATAACTAATAACTCAAATAATCGTCGAGCTCCAGTTCAAGTTTCAAATTCTTGGTCAATCCCAAAAAAAAACAAGCCCACATTGCAAGCCAAATTGAAATACCAAAAATTACGAGAATTTCCTTGAAAAGTAAAAATCACCGGGCTACGCATCTGGTGAAAGCGTTCATAGGAGCGAGCCGTAGCGCCGGACTTCGCCAACGTCGCCCAACGCATCGCGCCTATCCATAGTATAGCCCTGTGCCCTCTACGCATTGTTTGAAGGTTTCTGGAGTGTCTTCTTCCCTTTAAAATAATATTTATATATTTAGGTTAATCATATATAATCATATTTATAATTAATCATTTTATAATCATAAACGGATGATAAAAATTATTTAAATATCAATTCAAATAATTAAATACGCAACCTACACTCCTTTCAGGTACATGGGTAACCGCGCTCGAGCGTCGACCGCTCGACACAACGTCCACGGGCCTTGAATGGAATTTCACAATTTCGCATTTCTGGGGCGAAGATCCGACCGGAGATTGGGTTATAGAATTCGACGATAAACTGGTAAGTTACGCATAGTAAGTGCGCCGAGAATTCAAAATTCAGCCCTCAAAGAAGCGAGGCAAAATTTTGGCCGTGTCTCTAATCCTGCACGGAACAATTCAGCCGTCATTTTCGAAGGCTAAACAGTTTTCGCTGGATGAAGCGGCAGCGGGGGTAAGTTTTCGTCATAAGAAAATAATTTTCATTCGATATATTTAACAAAGTATCTTTATTTTTATTCAGGTTACGGCATAAACTTTTTTCTTAACATACAATGTTGCTAGTATAAATAAAGAACATGTGTAAACTGTTTTTCCTGTTCCTAAGCGTAAAAACTACAATTTTACTAAAAAATGCAAAAAATAGCTTTTTGATAAAAAAAATTGACGTTTTTTCTAAATCGTTAGCTCGTTTACCCGTTGAACCATACTGAAATTTTACTAAAAATCTATTCAGAGACCTATTATCACTTTACATTTATAAACTTGTAGGAAAAATTCGGTCCTCCCATGTCAAGTTTGTAGTTTTAAAAATATTTACAGACTAGAACAATCTTTTTCTTTCAGCGTTCATCACACAGCTGGCTGCTGGCAATGCTATTCTTGGTCTTGTTCTCCCTGGTGGTGTACGGTGGATTGGAGTATCTCGGAATTCAACGGAGAATCCGGCGAAGCGAGTCGTCGTGGAGAATATTGGAAGAAGCCGACGAAGGTGAAGAAGAAGCCCGCGAAGAAATTGATATGGCTGAAGCATAACTCCTTCGAACTATACCCTCCTGTATAAAATGTACCCGATAAAGACATCACAATAGTAAAGTAATATCCTTTATTTACAGAAGAACATAATGGCGCTCAGCTCATATCGGTCCTTTTCTTGTTGATGAAGCGGATCTCCTGCTGGCGGTGGACGTAGGCGAGTAGCTGGAATGGGACTTGTTTTTCGGGAAATTGATCAGAGGTTTTAGTTCTTTTGCTTTAGCGGCGGGGAGAATAAATCATTTCCTCGTGTTTTCAAGTTTATTTAGACTTTTTGACAATTTTCAACACAAAAAACGGCTTGCCAATCAGAATCTCGAATTACAAAATCTCGAATGACAAAATCTCGAATGACAAAATCTCGAATGATTAGAATCTCGAATGATCAGAATCTCGAATGAACAAAATCTCGAATGAACAGAATCTCGAATGATTAGAATCTCGAACGATCAGAATCTCGAATTTACAAAATCTCGAATGACAGAATCTCGAATGACAGAATCTCGGATGGTCAAAATCTCGAATGAACAAAACTTCGATTCAGCAGAACACAGTTTGGATGAAAATTTCCACTAGCGGCCTAGTAATTGAACCCAAAATTTTTGCTATGGAGGTTTTGGCAATCAATAGCTGTAGCAACACTATCTAAAAGTTAAAGACTGAAAGAATTTGAGCCCTTTGCGTCGAAAAAACAAATTTTTCGACTTAACGACAAATTGTTCTTCATTATCATTTGTAAGGTATGATGCTCAAAACCATCCCTCGGCAGGGCATACTCACCACGGTCGTTCAGAGCGTGCGTGGGGGAGGGGGAGGGGCGTGGCCGAGTGGTCTAAGGCGCCGGTATGAGCCACAGTCTGAGGGTGCGGGTTCGATTCCGCACCCTCAAGAGAGCGCGTTAACCTTTTGCTTTTTGCGCCAAACGCCCGGAAAAGTCCCAATAGATCATTTATGGAGCATAGTATTCGAAAAATTAATAAATTAAAAGCTTGCCGGAATTGCAACAACAAATTTTAGCCTCTCAGGACCAAAAAAAAGTGGCTGATTTAACATTGGCAATGCTTTCCCAAGCAAATTCAGTGAAAAAACCACAAAGAATGAGCCTAAATCAAAGAAAAACGCTTCGCACAAAGGACGGAATTTGACACTTTTTGAGCTAAAAAGCTATAGAAGTCCTTATTTCTGCTGTAGATCGGTCTGAGACCTGTTCCATAACATAGCCCAGACTCTTCTCTACATTCCTAGAGCAGCGCTCCCGATTCACAAGGCGTTTTCAAAAGTTATAGCAATTTGAAGTTCAAAATTTTTGACAATTTTTCGGCCCTTTCTATGGGGAGATCATGGATCGCGGAGCGTGCACAGTACACGCGCGGCCATTGGAGTGCCCTGGAGCCGCCCCTCCTCTCACAGGCCACAGCGGATACACCCTTACTTAAAACTGCAACGAAGGATTTGGCAGCGTAACGCCGAAAATCGCTGCGTCTCTATTTATGTGGCCTGGCGGGTGGCTGGGGGTACGGTGGCTGGGACACCACATTAGGGCGCAGTCTGTCAACGACGGGGCTGTCTGTCAAGGGGAGCCGGAAGGGGCCCCGAAAATAAGCTGGGGATTGCGTTAAAAAGCCGATTTTGAAAAATTTCGACGTTATTAGCAAATTTGCGATTATACGATTTGTAGAAGAACACACGGCGCATCTTTTGCGCACAAAATCATGGAAATCGTAGTTTGATTTTTAGAGCTTATAGGGTTGGAAGTTTCCGAGGTTAAAAGTTAAGTATTTAAGTGAACTTCAGGCTCGTTTCCGGCATAAAAGATCTCGAATAAAGGTAGTTTTCTGCGTAGATTCTGAATATGAGACTTGTTTTTCCCCCCGAGCTCATATTTTCTTGATAAAACCCATATTTGCCTATAAAGCCAGCAATTAGGCCAGTAGCGAAGCAAAATATAGAGAAAAGTGTCGCGACACCGCCAAATGCGATTTTTAAACCATAAAAAGTTTGATTTAGCTCAGAATTTTAACTTTTAGCCTGAATTCTGGCCAGCATCGCGTGCGACTGGCGTGGCCCATTTTCTATGGCGCGCCCTCCAGTCTTTTTTACCGTACCCCATGCCAGAAGTAATTTCAGCGCCTAATCCCTTCCTTGCATTGCTGTTTCCGCTGTGCAGGCGCTTTCCCTGTCCTCTGAATGCCCGTGTCACAGCCTACTAGCTTCTATCTAAGACAAAAAAAATCGATGCTGGATCGAGCCAGACGAAACTAGATTAGGATACAGTGGGAATCCTGGCATTCGAGATTTGTTCATTCGAGATTTTGACCATTCGAGATTTTGTCATTCGAGATTCTGTCATTCGAGATTTTGTAAATTCGAGATTCTGATCGTTCGAGATTCTAATCATTCGAGATTCTGATCATTCGAGATTCTAATCATTCGGGATTCTGATCATTCGAGATTCTGATCATTCGAGATTTTGTCATTCGAGATTTTGTAATTCGAGATTTTGTCAAACTACCAAAAAACGAGATAATTTTGTTTGAAAATCTGAAAAATTGTTTTAAACCCCAAAAAAAGAGAAATTTGGCCGAAATTTCGAGATTTCCAGCGTTTTATAGGCATTTTCAATCAGGTTTTGTTTCAAATAAACCTAAAAACAATATTTAAACGTTATAAAAAATATTAAATAAAATATTAAAATCTACTATATATAAATTTCTAATGTCCGTGCGCCCGTCCGACCGCGACCGGGAATTCAGCCAAATTCTGCATTCAAATTCAAAATCCAAATTGCGGGGGAGGGAAGGGCCAGCGCTGAACCCCCGCGTAGCGGGGGGTCAGCGCTGGTATTATTTAAAAATAAAATATTAGTTATCGGGCAATACGGACTTACGGCGGAAAGTTTGCCCCCCTAACAGTCCAGTGCCTTTAACCGTCCTTTAGGAGTTCCGAACCTGTGAGACAAACAGCACAATCATCCCACACATCAGCACCACGATCAACAGGCTGAGAACTGAAAGAAAACTAGGTTCACAAAACGTAATTGTTTCCCGCTACTAATCCGTCCATAATCGTCGCTGCGCATCGGGAGCTCATGGATGAAAATGCGCTCCTTGAAAAGACGCTCCTGCATGAGCAGCCACAGATAGTAGAGGCACGAGCCGAGACCGCCCAGGATCGCCAACGAGATCACATCCTGAAAAGGGTTGTCAGGCTAGAATGCACCAAAATTACCAGCGCATCAAACTTGGGCTTCTCCCATTGGCGGATACGCTTGAAGACGGCACCGCTGCGCGCGTAGTTCTGAAAATTCAGGCAAAATCCAAAAATTCATAGGTTACATCCTACCTCATGGCAAATCTCGCAGCTATCCCGGTGGCTCTGCGTCACCCATTTCGAGAGGCACGTCTCGTGGATGTCGCCCATCTAAAGGTTCACAGGGATTTTGAGGTAATGGACGGTTATCGGGGGGTGGGGATAATTTTGGTTTTTCCGTCTAGCAGAATCTTTTTTTATAAGATCTAGCGTATTTTTATCGTATTTTTGAACAGTTATTCGTTGCTAAAGCACGTTCGCCATAGGGCCGTACGAGATCACTTGCAAAAAGTTGGTTCCCCCCGCTAACAGTCGCGCCGTTGCGAGACGTGACTTACTGTTCCGGCACAGCCGCAGGGGCGAACCATGTCTCCAGTCTCCGATTGACAAATACGACAGGCTCGCCGATCCAACGATGACGTCGACGATGGCGAACCGGGGCGGCTGGGGTTGTGCGGCAACGAAAGGAACGGCGAATAGCCGCTCTAAAAGCAGCGATGATCATTAAAACATATAAAAAACATGAAAAACGTTAAAATTAAATATTAAAAGCATAGCCATTACCCTTGGAGCATTGCTGCGAGCCGTGTGAAGATGAGTGGGTGAAGCCTGGGTGCTTGCCAAGCTTGCCGTGTCCACTTCGCGGCGATGGCCTGAAACCGTCGAATGGGGCGCGTTTGGCGTGGCGTTCCTCGACGACCCTGAAAATTTAATTAAATTATTGATTTTTAGAAAGATCCGTAAATATATATTTATAACGAATATTTATAACGAAACAAAACAAATGACGAAGCGTATCGCTCCATTCGACACCTAACTACGATATTGTCGTACTTTGGTGTTGTTTGTAGCGCTCCGGCGCGATGTCTCTTTGCTCAAAAGTGTAAAACTTTCTGAATTTGATAGGCGGGCAGCAAAAATAGAGTCTCGAATAGCGATTTTTTTTTGGCCAGGAAAACTTACTGGAATTCTGAGACCTCTCTTGACCCAAAGACATTGACGATAATTGACCGCTAGTAAATAATAGAAAAGTAAATGGCGTTATTTACTGGTAAAGGGTTTTTAAGGCTTGACAGATTTAAAGTTTTTATTCAAATGTCGATGTGATTTAAGTTCTCGCCGTTACTTTTTTGCCCGGCCGTTTTAAGCGCTTTTTTTGTCCGATGATGCAAAAAAAACCATACCGATACTTATTTATAGTGGGGGCTTTTTTACGGATCAGGCCACTTGAGTCGGTTTGTTCGCAACTGGCCGGGAACCCCTGTTGTTCTCCATTCTCAGGCCTTGGGAAATTGCCCGCGATAAGGGGCTGGCCTCGGTCTGTTCAATTTCCGAGACAACTATCCGTAAAAACGAACCCAATAAGTCGGCAGATTTCTTCAAATCTACTTTTTTTTACTTATTTTTAAATATCTTATTTATATTCGTAATATGCCCAATCGGACTTTGCACTAATTGCCCTCCTCGAGGAGTTGGTGTTGGTCTTTGGTTTCTAGGTGTCAGTGGAACAGGCTGCTCTCTACGTAGATATCGCCCACCGGTCAAGGTTCTTTATCATTTGCCCCGCCCCTTCTTTAGGCACACTCGCTATTTGTCGGTGGCACAACCCGCCGGAGCAACCCCGTAAACAGCTTGTGAGCTTTCGGGGTCCGGCTGTCCTTTGGTTCCGCACTTCCGCTCCATTTTGGCAAAGTACCTCCCGCGGGCCTTCTTCTTCCGCCTTTCCTGATGGTTACACTATATGTTTTTTCTCTAACGCGAAAGGACAACGGATTGGGTTATGGTTCCTTAGCGGGGTTCTGGACCTAAGTTTTTCCTATTTTCCCGTTGGCGCTCTATGATA